GCAATGAAAGTGGCCGTCATCCTCTCGGTACCTGACCAGCGATTTTCCATGCAGCGTGATTTGCGTGCTCTTTTGATGCACCTATGTGTTCAGATATGATAAGATTTTTTTTTTTTTTTTTTTTTTTTTTTTTTTTTTTTTTTTTTTGAGAGGGGAAGTCAGCCAGTCAGGAAGATCGACGATCCAACGTACCTGAGCAACATGCTGATCTCTCGCAATACGACTGGAAAAGATCAAGTTGCATCGCGAGCATGAGGCTTCTCGTGCCCTTGGCATGCTTGAGTGGTGCAGGGTGCGTTGGAGTAGCTCGTGGCTCTTGTGAGAGAACGAAGCGGTCAAAGATTTTTGTGATTGATTTAATGCAAGCAAGAAAGAAAGTAAAACTTCATCACACTTATTTGCTGCTTGCAAGCCATCTGACAACTGTGGAGTGAGGACATGAGAGTTGTTGTCATGCAAATGGGAATCGGCATGTAGTTTTGGCTGGCATGACGAATGAAGGTAATACACATCCAAAGTATAACAAGTTGAATAGCGTTAGGGCCACGGCTGGCAAGCACCTGGCCCAGGAAGCTCAACGGATCGGGGGCTGGCATGGCCTCCAGCAGCAGCAAAAATTGGACCAGGCGTGTTCCAAGACTCAGGTACCTGCTGACGGTTTGCGGCTGTACTTGCCGCATGGGGCGATGCTGATACTGCCCTTCATTGTCGTCAAACAGACGCGTCACAGCAGCGGCGGCCAGGCCCTGATCCGATAGCTGCTCGTAGGCCGACCAGAACAGCTCGTGCATGCCCGACTCAAGGAGTGCTGACGGGGTGTTGTGGCCCAGTTCGACCATGCGCTCTGGCTTCAGCTCGTTGATGACCAGCGTCATGCCCACGCTGTCGTAAAACGGATGCATCTGGTGAACACCGTGCGGGCATCGCTTTTCTTCAGCCTCTGAGGCCATGGCCTGGGTGCTTGAGATAAACTGCTTGAACCGCTGCTGCTCCTCCAGCTCCTCCTCGTTTTCGCTCACATCGGCTGCCGAGGCGTCGTGGCTTTCCTCCACAATGACCTCGACACAGCGGGCCCCAACACCACGCAGCGGCTTTTGCAATTTCACCTGTCGAGGTGAATATTTGGCCTCCGGTTCATCTGGATGTTCTGTCGTAACATGATTCCTGAGACTGCCGCTCGAGGTAAAGCATGCCTGACACAGGGGGCAACCCACACCGTCAAGAATAGGAATGCCTTCAATAGGCATACAAGGTCCTGATTCTGGCCCGAGGTCAACTGACGGCTCCTCGGGCTGCAGAGGTCGCAGGAGTGCCATGGCTGCATCAACATCTTCTTGGCTGCACCGTACATGGTGCTTTTTGAGCAGATGGTGAGGCACACTACCGCTCAGGACGTGGCTGCATTGCGTGCACACCGGCGATTCGAATGCGGGAGACAAAAGGCAGCCAATTTCAGTCATAAACATTTGAGCGCCGACAATGCCGTGTTGTTGATCAAACTTGACCTCACGCTTTTTTTTGCGCGTCCGAGCAGGTTTTAGTCGGGAAGGCAGATGTGCATTGATCACAGTCGGTACAGCTGCCGGCGCAAGCGATGTCCGTTTTTCATGAAGCCTGAGATGGGCTTTGAGGGTCACCGATAGTTCATGGCGATAGTGGCATCCGCCTTGAAACTTGATACGCGTGCTCTTCTGGTGCACCTATACGTTGAAGGATGGTGAGGCGTGAGACATCGGTGACGAGAACGATTGCGATTGTTGTTTTTTTTTCCCTTCTTGTCGAGGAACGAGAGGATCCAACACACCCGAGCAACATGTAGGTCTCTTGCGGCACGACTGTGGAATGCTTCATCGCAATGCCCACAAGACATTGTCTGCGCCCTTGGCATATTTGTCTGGGTGTGTGTATGTGTGTGCGCGCGCGCGTGCGCGTGTGTGTGTGTGTGCTGGTGTGCTGTGCAGTGAACGCGAAAAAAACGCAAAGGGGCGACGAGGCTTGTGTTAAGCAAAAGTAAAGATATTCTCACACTTTCTCATTCAGACACGACAACTTTAAGAGCGATTAAAGACCTCTGACGCCATGCAGTGTTTGCCGAACACATTTGGAACTGTCCACTTTGATCCTTCAATTCAACGTCAAATTATAACAAAGAAATAAATAGAAAAATAACGTTAGACGCGACCAAGGCCCGGATATTGGAGTGCAAGCATCGACCACCTGCCAGATCCCTCTGGAAGGATTGCATAAGTGTACTCGACGATGTGCAGCTGCCGCCGCCCGTCGAGGAACCCTCTCGTACACTCTGGGTGTGTTTAGCCACCAGATTATAAGTACGGTCCCGCTGACCGTGAGTGGCATTTTCTTTTGGATATTTCCCTCCCTGTTTTCTATCGTTCTCTCCTGTGAGAGAAGTGCAATTGAACCGCTTTACTGTCTCAGCTCAAATCGCCTTTCAATAGTGCCGTCCTACCTGCATGCTGGCTTTGACACTCAGCGCCCCCAATGAAGCTCAAAATGCCACTCCCTTGGTCTACAGGACCGCACTTATACCTCGATGGCAGGAACGACCACAATGTTCGACATGCTTCCTCGCTGTGAAGAATAATCGAGCATCATCGCCGGGGCTGGTGTCTTCCAGTGATACAGTAGCTTCTGGACATACGTCTATGCTTGTAGTCTAATGCATGATGATGGTGCTTCTTGTACTTCTCTTCTTGTCTCATTTGTGCTCGCGCTTGCTCCGTTTGTCCTGCGGCGGGCCGCCCTCTCATCACCAGCTTACGCAGTGCCGCAGCCGCCAATATCGAGACACCATTGCCATCAGTCATGTCATGGCGGAAGAAGACGGGACAGTTTTTCGCTCTTTTTCGGTGATTGCTGGACTGCTCTGCTTCAGACGTTTGGCAAAGCCCGCCCTGCCCGTTGTTTTAGGATATAATCTGTTTGTGGTCAATTCACAAAGCAAACAGAGAAAATAGAAACAGGTAAGGTACAAAGTAAAAATGCCACTTACGGTCTACAGGACCGTACTTGTTTTTGGTGGCAGAAACAATCATCATGTTCTACAGGCTTCCTTGACGAGCGCCGTCAAGGATAATCAGACATCATCCTTCAGTGGTCGATCACAAAAGTCAGGACTGGTATCTTCCAGTGTGTTCCAGCAGCTACTGGACATACGTCCATGCTTGTAGTCCAATGCGTTGACTTCAATCTCTACTTGATCGACAAGCCCACCACAAGCGTCACATATTTCAATTTGTAGGTGCAGCTTGAGCGGCGGACGTTAGAGCGGCCACGCAGTCACCAAGGGTTTGTAGATCTTGAATATTGAACAATTGAGGATCCACGCGCCAGCCGACGCTACAGAGAACAGCAGCAACGCGCCGCCAGCGTCTGACCTGCTCCGCATGGATCAAGCCTTGGACTGGCGCCACGTTGAAATTCGATGAGAACAAGACAATTTGTACAATGACACGGGAATCAGGTTCGCACCATCGGAATTTGAAGTTTGGTAGGAGCAAAGGGTTTGGGTTGCGCCCAGTAGCTCTGTGACCACCTATAAAGGGAAACAGCTTCATCGGTAAGCAAGCTTGCCTCTGCAATGAGTACCACAAATAAAAAAAGGCCCACCTCCAGTTTGATGGGATCCCTGTCTAGAAGCAGATCCAAGGGTCGTGCACCCGTCTGCCACAGCAGGTCATCAGGTATCAATCGCAGGTGCAGCAGAACAGCGCAAAAGGTACGGCATTGTGGTAAAAGGCTTACAAGATCTCTCGCATCTGGGTCGGCACCGTGACGCAAGAGTTGCTGGACAACCTTTCGGCAGGGATGTATTACAGCGCAGGCTACTTGGAGCGGCGTTTGACCGTCCTATGAGGATCATCAATATTCAGAAACATGAGGCACGTGTTCTTTTTTTTTTCCTTTTGTTTTTTAGCGGAAGTTGAGCGTCGAGTGTGCTGGGGTCAAACTGAAGAAACGGCCATTGAAAGCCACGGGAGTGTGCGAGGGAGGCAGAAGCACGATGGCAAGGGATGGAGTAGCGTCCAGAATGAAGTCACGACATTGGAAAAGGGAAGCAGGCTCAAGATACAACGGAACAGAGCGGGGTGCAGGAGCACCGACAAAACGCGTACGCAAAACGGGGAAAAGGGATGGCGGGAAGGAAGAAAAGGAGCCAGAGGGGGGACGGGCGCGCACGGGTGGGCACGGTGTAGAGGAGCGAGGGACGGGGCCAAAGACGACGGGCAGCGGGAGCAGGAGCAGCAGCCAAAGGGGTAAAGGGGAGAAGAGGGAGGAGCAGGTACTGTACTGACGCTGTTCTTGGCTTTGATTTCAGCGCCGTGCTTCAACAGTATCTCTGCCACCTTGCCATGGCCGTGAGCGCAGGCCCTGTGCAGTGGTGTATTGCCAAACTGTGGGATGATGCATCAGCATGACGTACAGGTACAGCATCAGCATCCGCATCATCATCATGTGGTACAGGTGTAGCATCACAGGGGCTAAAGGGGGAAGAGGGTTAGGTACTGTACTGACGTTGTTCTTGGCTTCAGTATCAACATCGTGCTTCAACAGCATCTCCGCCACCTTGACATGACCGTTATTGCAGGCATAGTGCAGTGGTGTATCGCCAAACTGTGGGATGATGCATCAGCATGACGTACAGGTACAGCATTATCATCATCATCATCATATCATAGGTGCTGTACTGACGTTGTTCTTGGCTTTAGCATCAGCACCGAGCTTCAACAGCATCTCCACCACCTTGACCTGACCGTTATAGCAGGCCTTGTGCAGTGGTGTATCGCCAAGCTGTGGGATGATGCATCAGCATTTCGTACAGGTACAGCATTATCATCATCATCATCATCATGTGGTACAGGTGTAGCATCAAAGGGGTAAAGGGGATAAAGGGAGGTACTGTACTGACGTTGTTCTTGGCTGTAGCATCAACACCGAGCTTCAACAGCATCTCCACCACCTTGACCTGACCCCAATAGCAGGCCATGTGCAGTGGTGCATTGCCTTTCTGTGGGATGATGCATCAGCATTTCGTACAGGTACAGCATTATCATCATCATCATCATCATGTGGTACAGGTGTAGCATCAAAGGGGTAAAGGGGATAAAGGGAGGTACTGTACTGACGTTGTTCTTGGCTGTAGCATCAACACCGAGCTTCAACAGCATCTCCACCACCTTGACATGACCCCAATAGCAGGCCATGTGCAGTGATGCATTGCCTTTCTGTGGGATGATGCAAACATGCCGTATGTCTCGTGTTATACCGTAACGCCACCACATCAGTGACACATGATCACACAGCATCATATCAAACAGCAGCATACGTACCCAATCTTTGTATTTGGCAGCATCTCGAATACGCTGTGGGTCTTCCCAAGTGATCAACAGCTGCAGCGCCTCTTGTGGATCTAATGAATCACACGCCCAGTATAGCTGCTCTCCATCATCACTCATGGTAACGCTGTCATCCGCAACAATCTCATGAGCCCCATCCAAGAACAACTCGTCTGATAACCCAAAAATTCGGGTTGGGGTTTGACCTGTGTGCAAAGTTTCCAAAACGGCAGCCGGTCAGCGGGCTTTTGTTCTTCGCTGCCTGATACAACAAACACTCCCGTCTGCTCAAAAGGCCTTGGTCACATTCGCGAGCACAGGAGTACTTGTTTGCCCAAGCGCACTGACGACTTTGAGGCGAGATCAGTGAAGTGGCCTCGTGAACATGTAAAAAAAAAGGCAGATGCGCTCATGCGCTCAGCCAGACGTTCTGGCGTCACCACAATCCCGACCAGGAGAGTCCCGTACGAAGCCCAATCAGTCACCACACCCAAAGCAAGGCACGTCGAGCAGCCTCCCGATGCCTAATGCCAAGACCGATGCCAAAGAGTGGAACAAAGGGTAAAAGCCACAAACAGCCGAATGCCAAAAAAGATGAAGAAGGAAAATGCAAAAAACACACGTTTACACCACCTTTCTATTTACTTGTTTTTGCTTGTGTTGGAGAATAGTCATACGAGCAGATTCCGAAGCACCGCGAAACTGGGGCTTGTACCGTCCATGCGTACTGCCGCCCCTTTGCCAGTCATGGCAGCTGGAAAGCAATCCGAGCCTTTTCCGAGCAGGGTCTGAAGCACTGCAAAACTGTGGCTTGTACCGTCCACGGGTGCTGGCCCTTTGCTAGAAGCCCGTTCGCTGCCGATGCAGCCCCTCCAGTCATATGAATCTTTTTCCCATCGTACGAATGCGAGCGAGCTTTGAAATCATGGCGACTCGCCTCCCAAAAAAAAGTAGCGAGCAGCATCATTTGCCCTTTTCGTCGCTCCAACTGACCACCACGGCTAGAAGCTTATGACCTCCACTGTATTCGGAAAGCCCGACTGGCGAGGCCCAGATCTTCGCACAGCAGCAGCCCATATCTTGGCAGAGCGCCCATATCGATCAATACCTCTTCAAGAAGCAAACAAGAAAGGAGATTGGATCTGAATTTAATGCTAAGGTGAGCCACATTTTGCAAGCCACTGGCGATGTTGTATTGCCGACTGTCCTGGCTGCCCTTGTGGTGGTGTTGATGATCGAGCCTATAGGACTTTTCCTTCAAAGTTCACTCTGAAAGTTGTCAACCGGGCCAAATCGCGCTTATTGACTTTGAATAACATAGCATGCCAGTGGCTCGACCCTGACCTTGCTCTTGACAGGGTCCGGGAGCAGGTATTTTGTTGCAATGCCCTTGTATGTAAAACAAATTTATGGTGTACTTGTCGCCACGCAGCGAGGGGGCTAATCGTCTTTGAGCTTCGAGGACTCGTGCCTTCAATTTCTTTTGTAGCGACGGCACAGAGAGACGGGTGCGAGCTTTCGGGCACGGACATGGCGCTCCATAATAGAACAACAACGACCGCGAGAAGCAAGATTCAAGCCAAAGGTATGGGACACCGGCTGACTTCGGCGCTCATCTTTGTGTTTCCGGTGAGTGCCGCATCTAGGTTGAGAAGGCGTTTACGGGCGTCGCAGGTAGCGGACTTTTCAGAGAGTGCTACCTCGTCAAACACGTCTGCCATCAGCAAGAAGATGTCAACGCGGGACCGTAGCTTACTGGCGTCGTATTGGAGAACCTGTCTCGTGACCTTATACACCAGCTCACCCACATCGGCTTTGACATCGTGCCAGAGAGCGTTGATCACAGCCGCATGTGTTTGAACGTCAAATTGTTCCTGCTCTTCCACGCTCATGAGCGGCTCATCAAGCAATGTGCGGGCCTGCTGCGTCGGCGAGCCGTTCGGGGTGCACGCAAAGGCAAAAGAAGCCATGGTGTCTGGGCTATCTGCGGCCGCGGGCGCATCGTGAGTCGTGGTATACGACGACTGTTTGAAGAAGACATCGACAAAGTCACTCGCTTGATCGTCATCAGCCTCTGTGCCAGATTCTCCATCCAGCTTCAGCTGGCGAGTATAAATGCGTTCGGTGAAGTAGCCATCTCTTTCGTAAAGAATCAGCATGAGCTCTTTTTGCTCTTTGGTCACAGCTAGGGACGTCATGGCGTCGTTGGAGCGAGACTTTTGAGCTTTTGAAGCAAAGTAGTTGCTCAGCCTGGCGTACCAAGCTGTGGGGCCACACCCACTGGCCGTGGCAGCAGATCGGTAGGTGTTGGCAAGAAGATGCAGCATCTGAGGTCCATATGTGGTCTGCACCATATGTTTCGCATCGGCTAGCACTGCCTCGCGCAGCGCACAAGTGTTGGTGTTTTCTGGGTCCTCCGAGTCTTTTTGACTCTGCAACTCTTCAAGCATCTCGAGGTGATTTATCAAGCTAACAGTGACGGCATTGTAGCGAGACTTCAAAGCTCTGAAGATACCTCGTCGGTCATCGCGATGCTTCTCCACAATAACAAAGAGGGGCGTGCCACAATGCTTCTCAAACCGATCTAGCCCAAAGACCTCTACGGCTACGAGGTCGACATCGATGGCTCCTTTTTGAACTACCTGCTTAAGTGTTGTCTCGGCCATGTCATAGGCCTGTCGCAGCTCGGGGTGGGAGAGGACGTGATGTGCCAGCTCCAACTCCGGCAACTCTCTATTACCTGATTCGGCGGTCTCAAGTTCCTGACGGCACTGAACATAGGCAAGCTCAATGTCCGTTGCGCTTGCATTTGTTGGCACTCCCAAGCGCCGATAGAAACCGCATAGATCCTCAGATGGCCCGTGGCGTCCATCCGTGTACTCGGCAAGATGTTTGAGAGCCTCGCAGGTGCTGCGGTTTTGAATCAAACGAGCTGTTATTTTATTCTCCTCGATGCACTCCTTTGGCATATCGGCCATCATCATGATCGCTACCGTGATCATCTGGCAACCGACGAAAGAGCCGGCGACAAAAAAGCCGACCGGGACCGGAGCGATGTACCCCGCCGCAAACAGTAGCAGGACCACTTGCTCCCATCCTGGCATGGACCCAGGGCCCGCCATTCTTGTTGGTGATGGTAGGCAGCACCACCAGTGCTGCCACGAGCAAGACTGAAGAGGCCCGGCACGTTGACACACCAAGCAACACGGTGCCTTTGCAGGGCGATAAAGCAGCAAAATGAAAATGCAAGTGGATGAGATGCACCCTTGGCCAAAAAAAAACGCTACCCGTGCTTGCATGGAGCTAGCTGGTTGCAAGACTGGCCGCGCAAGCAAGCCAGCACTGCTTAATTCAAACACAACTCACAGCTGCTTTCGTCATCAATCGTAAGCGTCTGACAAGCAAGACAAAAAAACGAAAGTTACAAGCAGAAGCAAGTGACCGGTAACTTGGGGTAGCTCTGGGTCAACGGCCTGGCGACCAGTCTTGTGGGATAAATTGCGCCTGTAAGAGACATGGCCAAGGCAAAATCCTCGGGTAGATGATGCATCTTGTGGTCCTGAAGCGCCCCTTGCACCGGGTTGCCAGCACCACGATTGCAAAGTAAGCAAGCAAGTCATACAAGCAACTCTCAATTGCATAGCACCAGCCCACGACGGTAACGACCGTCATCGAGACCAACCATTTGGTAACGGCTGAGGCTCATTGTATCCAACACTGAGTGGTGTATTCTGCTATGTGATGCTACTGTACACAATCCGCGCTGGGTTTTTGAGTTCATGTGTGCTGCCTGCTGTTGTCGCCTCGACTATTAGCTTAAGACCGAGTGTTTTGGCGGCGACGTGCCTGAGTATCAGCTCAAATTTTACGTGTCTCTGGCGCTGCTTTGGTGACTATAGAATCTGTGGTCTTTCAGACGCAAATGCCTCGGCGAAGCGACCCCTCAGCCCAAGCTTGGCATGGCATACAAACATGCAGTCTCTGCTTGCTGTGATAGTTGTGGTTGAGAACAAATGCCAAGCTATATCGGTGGCAGGAGCAATTACAACGTTCGACTGGAGGAACTACCCATGACGCTTCGCACACTTTCACAATTGATCGTCATCCCACTCTCGCGGAGCTTTAGGATATGATTTGTCTGTGGTTGATTCACAAAACAAACAGAGGAGATAAAAACGGGAAAGGTACAAAACAAAAAATGCCACTTCCGGTCTACAGAATCAAACTTATATCTCAAAAGCAGGAGCAATCACAATGTTCGACAGGCTTCCTTGTCGAGCGCCATATCCTGCAATGATTGATCACAATCTTATCTTCCATTGTGATCCAGCAGCCACTGGACATACGTCTATGCTAGTCCAATATGTTATTGCCCCATAGTGTCCGTCACAAGGGGCGTGTAAGTACCGCTTGGTTCTCGGCTTGCAAGTTACCGAGGATAGACTTCAGGTCATCAAGCGCGTTCATTTCAAATAGTGTAGGCTCCACGCGCCAGCCGACACCAAAGAGAACCGCACTTGAAGCCCTGCAGTGCCTTCGTTGCTCAGCTATTATCAAACTTTGAACTAACATCGGATGTTAGAAATGCAAAGTCAAAGCGTGCAAACGGAGCACAGCCGAGTCCAAGTCATCTTACATTTTGATACTGAGCTCTGATACACCCTTGGCAAACGGCTGGCGCGAAGCATCCTGCGAATCAGCTGATGTGGTGCACACAGACGTTTTGAGTCATACCGCTGCGGCACTACGGCGCGACTTGTTAGCGTGCTTCTTACATTCAGATCGACTCGGCGTATCTTGAGAATTCTGTCAAGTGGAGACTTTCCGTCCTGCAGCATACAGCATCAGCCACCACATTCATGCGTAAAACATCAAACAAAGACCTCTTTTGCACATATACTAGCAAGGCACATAGCCAGGCACATAGCCAACGAACAAGATGCGACAAGCTTGGTGCAAACACACACACACACGCACACACACACACACACACACAAAAAAAAAAAACAAAAAAAAAAAACAAAGTCAGTTGTCTCAGATCTAACCGAACTCAGCACATCAACATCCGCGCCATGTTTTAGAAGCGTGGCTACGATGTTCTCATTGGCATAATGACAAGCCGCGTAAAGAGCTGTTGCGTCGTTCTGTCAAGCCAACACGCAAGGCAAAGCAACGACGCCTCTTGAGCGGGGCGGTCATTAACAACATGAAGCACATTCGTGTGGCGAAACAAAGAGGCGTATTCAAAGGGCAAGTGCGCCGAAGCAGGAGCTAGGAAAAGACAATATACTAGTGATGTTTAAAACGTTGAACACCATAGAAGGAAGAGCAGAGAATACTGACAACACATTTCGCTTCAATATCAGCACCGTGTTTCAACAGCATCTCCACCACCTCCACATAGCCTCCACAGCAGGCAAGGAACAACGGTGTACTGTTGCCCTGTGTTTGAACCACCGTCGCCACCACCACACACGTAGTTGCATCAGCATGCCCAGCAATACCATGGACGAATTCCAGAACAGCGTATGCACAAGTACCTCATGCAAACTGGTGTGAAATAAAAGAGCCATCCACATCATTTTTAAAAAAAGAGAGAGAAAGCAGGGAGAAAGAGGTAGGAACGAACCTCGTTCTTGGCTTCAGTATCAGCTTTACTTTCCAATAGAATCTGTACCACTTCCGTGCGGTTGAAATAGGAGGCCCAATGCAGTGGTGTTGCGCCAAACTGGGAGTTGATTTGAGTCACCATTACCGTCATGGCCGCCGCAAGCGTAATTGCAGCATTCCGTGTGCCGCGGTGAGATGTCCAAAAAAGTTGGTATTCACGTATCACAGGTGGAACGGGAAGCGGTAGACTTCGACTGACAAAAACCAGGTGCAAACGGTGTTCTGACCTTGCCCTTGGCGTTGACGTTTGCACGGTGTTCTAATAGCGCCTTCACCATTCTTTTATCACCCTTTTTGCTGGCATTGTGAAGTGGCGTGCCGCCTTGCTGTAGTTTGATTCAACACCACCACCGCCACGATCACAGGTGTGATTGCACACAAACCATGCGCCATGAAATCGTAAAAAGAACACGATAAAGATTCAAGTCGTTTTGACTTCTTCTCTGGCAAACCTCAAAGGTAAACGAAGAGGAAGAGAAGCCAATCAGACCAAAAAAGGAGGAAGGAGGCGGACTGACTTTGCACGTGGCTTCAGAATTAGCACCATGATGCAATAGCATGCGTGCCGCCTCTACAAATCCATGCTGGGAGGCAATGTGAAGCGGTGTTTCGCCAGACTGTAGGTTGATGCAGCACCGGCATGACGGTCACACGCGGTTGCGCCATTCCCATGACCCACAGTCGTGAGATCTGTTTGTACATCAGTTGATCCACACGCAAAGACATGTGCAGAGCAGAATACAGACCAAAAGAAGCAAGCGGAAAAGAAAAAAAAAAGCAGAGGAACCGGATAAACAGGGTTGGACTGACTTGGTTCCTGGCTTTATGGCTAGCGCCGTGCTTGAGTAGTAGCTTAATCATTGTCACTTTCCCATGTTCGCAAGCGAGGTGCAGCAGCGTATTGCCAAACTACGATAGTTTACCATTATGGTGAGGTCACAGCAGCTTTTTTCAACAGGAAATGTCCAGTTTCACATGTAGACCTCAAGGAAGCAAAATAAAAAACGAGCAGTAGAAGAGAGGACAGTACTCACGGCATCCTTCACTTTTCGACTAAAGCCATGCTTGAACATCGCCTCCACCACACCCGCCCGCCCAGTATAGCAGGCGTTCCACAGAAGTGCTTCACGGAGCTGTGGCGTAATTCAGCACCGCCACGTTCCCACACATGATTGGAGCGTTACCATGACCGAAGAATGTTGGGATAAGCGTGATAAAAAAATGAAGTGCAAATGCCTCATGGAGGAAAAAATGTAAAGCTTCGACAACAGGGTGAGTGGCAGAAAAAAGTCAAGAACTTGCCTCGTGACTAGCGTTGAAACCGTGCTTCAACAGCATCTCCACCACCCTCGGGTGATCGTGATAACAGGCAACGTGGAATGGCGTCCTGCCATACTGTCGTCATCAGAAGGGGCCAAGGTGCAGTGTCATCATTGGCGTGATAAGACGAACGATAGTGATGCTGAAGGCCTTCGTCTCTCTTCTTGGCTGGCTTGTGATACGACTGGGATCATAAATAAGAGCAGGGCGTCGATAAAAGTTGCTACTAACCGAATCCTTTTCTTTGGTGTTAGCGCCGCGCTTCAACAAAACCTCTGCCACCTCTACATGGCCGTGAATGGAGGCCTGATGCAGGGGTGTTCTGAAAAGCTATCGGGTCACAATCCGGTTCGGACACCAAGAACAACACCATCATAACCGACGTGATTGTGAACAAAATACCAACATGAGACAAAAAGCATTGGTGGTAATAATGGGAGTGCCGTGTGCGTACAGATCAAACGGGAACAACAGGAATGCAGTCGCCATAGAAGAGAGGAAAGCCTCAAGCAAAACAGGCTGAGCATTCACCTTATCCAGAGCGTTTGAATCCGCGCCGTGGTCCAGCATTACTTCAACCGCCCCAACATCTGCATAAAGGCAGGCATCATGTAATGGTGTGTCACCATTCTATGGGGTGGATGTGCCACCGCACCAGTACAGTGCAGTACAAATACAAACGTGGAGTTACAGATGCCCACAGCACAGTGAGAGATGCATATCATACCAGCTGGTGGATAGGCACCGTATGCGGCCCTGCAGCCCGAGAGGGAGAACAAAGGAAGCAGTCGAGATCGCGGACAGGAGGAAAACGGCACAGACCCCATTCTTGGCTTCAGGATCGGCGCCGTGCTCCAATAACATCTTGACCACCTTGATGCGGCTTTTGAAAGAGGCCTGGTGCAATGGGGTATTGCCATCCTTAAGGCCAAATCACAACCGCCGCCAAACACGCACATGATGAGACCCTGATGCGCCAACGCCATCGCAATCAAGTCCAAAGGGGAGACGATTATCGACATCAAACAAAGAGCAACAAGAGCACAGCGAGTGGGACTGACAGTGTTCTCATCTTGAGCCCCAGCGCCATGCAACAGCATATCCACAACCTTCCCATGACCTCTCATGTAAG